GCCACTGGATTGAAGTGTCTGTGGGCAGGCATCCCAGAAGAGAGAATTCAGTGTTTCTGCAGCCCAGCAGTGCACCCCTGTTTGTTTAAGTGCATGCCCAGCGGGGCTCACCACGGGTCCCCAGGGCTGCCTGTAGTGTCCAGAGTTCTGCAGTGTGGGGTGGGGAAACTCAGTTTTTGCTGATGCACCTGTGGTGGATAGATGCGTGTTCCCAGTGGTGGCACACAGGAGAATCTACATTAAGTTTGCTAGCGCAGGTGCACTAAAGCACTCTGAGGGGTCCTGGCATGCTTAATCGAGGTGTCTTTGGGTAGGTATCCAAGATTCGTGAATTTAGAATTTCTCCTGCCCAGGGGAGTGCATCCCTGTTCGTCCAAGATCGGATCCAGCGGAGGCTCACTATGACTTCCCAAAATGCCCTGTGGATAGATGGGCTCAGGGGGAGTGAGCAACTGTGGCAGTGCGTTTGCCGGGCTGAGCTCTGACGCTCTCTGAGGGGCCCTGGTGCTGAGGTTGAGCAGTTGGGTGTGTGTAGGCAGTTATTCAGGCAGAGGGAATTCAGAATTTTTACTGGGGGGCAGTGCGCCTGTGTCTGTACAAAATCACACTCAGCTGGGGCTTACAATGACTCCCAAGATAAGTCTATGGAGTGGTGTGCCTCGGAGACCTGCTCACTGGACACATAGGAATGCGATGTCGGAGGTTTGCTGCTGGGGAGGGGGGAGTTGCACTTACTGCTGCGGGTGTGGTGTACCTTTGGAGGTGGAGATCCCAGGGTCTGCGGGTCCCTGGGTGGGGCTGCAGGATTTTGGCTGAAGTGGCTGCCGAAGTGGCTGCCAGGTTACAGGCAGTGTCCAAGGCCTGTCTGGGTGGTGGTGCTGATGAGTTCCTAGAAGAGGCCGCTCTCCCCTTTAAGATGGAGTGGGCTCCGTGCCCGAGTCCTGCAGTCCAGGGAGTGTCCACAGTGGTGGTAGTCTCTCCCTGTCCCAGAGAGCCTGGTCTACCAGTCTCTTGCTGCTCCTGCTGGATTTAACTGTCCCTTACTCACTCACACACACAACACACACATCTACATACTCTCCTTTCATCCCCTCACTCACTCACTTCCTATCCTCATCTCCGTCCTGCCAGCTGCCATCTTTTTTTGGCTCACATGTTTTTTTTCCCTCCTTCATTAGAATGTAAACTTTATAATGGCAGGAAAAATGTCTATCGTGTTCATCATTGTAACCTTAGTATCTACTGAGTGAATGAATGAATCACTAGGCTGAAGTGGTTAGGAAAGGTCACCTTGGGGAGAAAGAGCTTGAAGTGGAATTTGAAAAATGGAAGTATAGGCAGAATTTTCATTATCAAGATTAAGGAAAGAATTCAAGGTAGTAGTAAAAGTGAAGTTGTGAGGCAAACATGGTTCTGGCACATTTGGGCAACAGTAAAAAATGAAAGCTGCCTGCAGTGGAAGGTTCTCATTAGATAACATAGGAACAACAGGTTTGTTACTTGGTTAAGGTATAATGATATTGAGTCTTAAATAATATACTACTTTTTTTTCCTTTCGATGTGGGAAATAGAAGCTATTGAAAATTTTGGAACAGGGTCATGGTGTAGTGTTTTAAGAAGGACGGTTAAACACCACAGTTAATATGAATATTAACAATATGAATATTCAAAGAGGAGAGCAGATGCCTCCCTCTTCTTACCTCTTTCTGTGTCGTAGAGATACACAAACTTCTCCCACTTGTAGTGACCCAGAAGACTCAGAATAGCACCCTTCAAGGCTGGGCGCATCTGGATGACAAACTGCACATCTGCATCAGTGGGAAAGCTGGGCGTGACAAAAGACGTGTGCAGGGCCCCACAGAAGGAGGTCAGAGTGTTCATTGACATCTGGTCATAAAATCCAAAGATGGCATACACCCCTCTCGAGAACTGGGAGCAGACTGCAATGAGAAAAAGAGAAATTTCAATAGCACCATGGTTCCTTGCTTCAACTTACATGGTTGGAAATACAATGTACATTTAGGCTTTGGCTCTAAATGACATGCCTTGAAAAAAAAAAAAAACCCAAGATCTCTGAAATCTCTAGAATCTCTTAAAAGCCCAGTTGCACAGCAGAAGAAGAGTAAGGAAGGGAAGAATTTATTTGATCCAGTTGAATATTCTCTCTCTCTCTCTCTCTCTCTCTCTCTCTCAGAGAAAAAACATTGACCAGTTGCCTCCCTTACATGCCCCGATCAAACCTGTGCCTAGGTATGTGCCCTGACCGTGAATCAAACCCACAACCCTTTGTTGCATGGAGTGATACTCTAGCCAGCTGAGCCGCCTGGCCAGGGCCAGTTGCATGTACTTTATATCTACCATAAGAAGGAAACTAAGAAAATGTGAGAAGAGGTGAAGGTTGTTTTACCCTCTTTTAGCAACCCTCACAGCTAACCTCCAAGGAACTCGATACTCTCATACTTCCACCATAGCTGTCTAGAGACCTCACAGTATACCCATACTCCCATCAAGGCACAACTATCTTGTGTCTTACCCTTTCATTGCATTTTCTACTACGTGACAATAATGACTGATGATTTAGTCAGACAAACTGCTAATGTGTCTGCTAGGAAATGTGTTGATCCTCTTAGGTCACATAATGATTTAATTATAGTTATATTATGACTAGTACCCTTAATTAGGTTCCTGATACAGAGGATTTCAGATTCTGGGCAGGTCATTGTGAAGACTGGCCTTTCAGTGCCCAGTGAATCATATGAGGCAGGTGGACCTATTCCGCCCATGTGTAATTGGCAAAATGCTATCTTGATCCTTTTGCATTTGTCTTCTAGATTTATTAACCCACATATACAGCTTCATATCCTCTTCATGATTGTGGTCAGCTTTACTTCATTTCAAAGTGTACCATACCACCATCTCTTCCCTCTTCTAGCCCAGATGAGCTTAAAAAATGTGAACCAATTTCAATATTAGCTTAAGTAGAACATAATTAGCAAAGCAAATCAACTACAACAACACCGTGTGGTGCATTCCCAAACCAAGTGGAAATGATCTTTAGATTATCTGCACTACTGCTTCCTTCTATTCATGTGAAGCAGACAGAACAGGCAGCTGATAACATGGTGTGATTTAAGGGGTTCTGCATGGTCTCCCTTATCTGCTAAAAAGCTACTGTTAAGGTTACTTCTTCAGGTTTAGTGGTTGAAAAAAGCCTGTGGCTTGGGAGGAGGACTCAATAGAATCTTTTAAACCCATTAGCATGTTAAGATGAAATAACATCTGATTAGATGCTAGGATGAGTGGTAAAGCAGATGGGTAAATTTTGATGGGGATGGGTGGATCAGAGAAGAGAATATAAAGAATCTGAAGACCTCCCTGAGGGGAGAAACAATTAAGCCAGTGTGCACCAAAAGAAGGACAGCATTGAAGGTAGGATAAAGGCAAATGGAAAACCAATTTAATTCATTTCTTGACCTCCTTGTGAGAATCAGAGACTTCTCAGTATCTGTGGTATCTTACTTTCTATGCATTCCACTTAAACTTATATTGATTAGGGATGCTTCCTTTTATCAGCCAAACTCATTAGTCATTGGCTTGAGGATAGCATTTCAAATGTGATTATCAGCAACTGAAGTATTTGCATCAGGGAAGATAATGGCCTCTAACTTGAGGAATTCTAGGTGACCCCCCAAAACATATGCACAAAAATATTTATATTAAAAGGAGAAAGCCAACTGAAGAATGAATCTGGGGCCCCTAACAAAGGAATATTCAGAAACAAAAAGAAAGTGGCTAGATGCCACTTTGCCTTGGTCATCACCAAAAGAGATACTTGGGAGAGCCCCATTCCCAAATTCATCCTGTAAATGGAGAGTTTTGCAGCACTAGGTCAAATCTTGACCAGCTCACATAATGTTCTGTATAAAATTGACAATAATAACAGCCACAGAGTGCTTAGTAAGTACCAGGCACTGTGCTAAGTGCAATACAAATATTATCTCATTTGATATTTCCAACAACCTCATGAGGTAGTGCTATTATTTCTATTTAATAGATAATAATTCCGACAGAAAAACTATTCTATCTCTTGTGTGGAGAATCCAGGATTTGAACCTGAATCTGCCCGACTCACACTTCTTGGGTCCCAAAACCAATAATGAATGACATTGAAGAGTAATTATTGGCCCAAATGAGATAGAGTTTTCAGGTTTAGCAAATAAAAATATAGGATGTTCAATTAAATTTGATTTTCAGATAAATTATTTTTAGTATAAGTAAGCCTCAAATCATACATGTATTAATAATTATTTGTTTATTTGAAATTTAAATTTAACTGAGGATCCTGAATTTTATTTGGCAACCCTAGAAATAATCTGTCCTTTTTACTGGCCATGGGGCTGGAAAACTGGAACAAGCAATCATGACCCTTCACCCCAAATGATTCAGGAGGCATCCAGTAATTTTTAGACCCATATCTACTAGCCTGCAGGGCCCAAGTGAAAGATGAGGACCCATGATCCCTATATAAAAATAGCCTTATGGGGAAATAAAACTTATTTTCAACAAGGTGAACCCTAACCTGACTAAACTATGAATAATAATTGAGAGGGAAATAAAGTTGAAGAGAGGAAAACCTATAGCTATGATGCACTTAGAATTTCAAAAAGCTCTTGATGCATTGTAAAAAAACAAACAAAAAAGTAAGGATTTTTTATATAAAAGCTCTCAGCAAAGTGGGAATAGGGGGAGCATATCTCAACATGATAAAGGCCATATATGACAGACCAACAACAAACATCATACTCAATGGGCAAAAACTAAAACCATTTTCCCTTAAGAACAGGAACAAGACAGGGATGTCCACTTTCACCACTCTTAATCAACATAGAATTGGAAGTCCTAGCCACAGTGGTCAAACAACAAGAAGAAATAAAAGGCATCCAAATTGGAAAGGAGAAAGTAAAACTCTCATTATTCGCAGATGACATGATATTATACATAGAAAACCCTAAAGACTCCACCAAAAAACTACTAGATTTAATAAATGAATTTGGCAATGTAGCAGGATACAAAATCAACACCTCAAAAATTGATGGTTTTTTTTACACACCAATATGAAAGAGAAACTAACCAAACAATCCCATTTGCTATTACAACAACAACAACAAAAAAATAAAACAAAATACTTAGGAATAAACTTAACCAAGGAGGCAAAAGACCTATACTTGAAAGCTATAAGACGTTGAATAAAAGAGATAGAGGAAGATATTAACAAGTGGAAGAATATACCAGGCTCATGGATTAGTAGAATCAACATCATTAAAATGTTCATATTACCCAAGGCAATCTACAGATTCAATACAATCCCTATTAAAATACCAACAGCATATTTCACAGAGCTAGAAAAAATACTCCAAAATGTATATGGAATAAAAAAGACCCCAAATAGCTGTAGCGACCTTAAGAAAGAAAAACAAAGTTGGAAGAGTCACGATACCAGATTTCAAGTTATACTACAAAGCCACCGTAATCAAAACAGCCTGGTATTGGCACAAGAACAGGCATATAGATCAATGGAACAGAAAAGAGAACTCAGAAATTGACCCAAGCCATTCCGCTCAATTAATATTTGACAAAGGAGGCAAGAATATACAATGGACTCGACAGTCTCATCAATAAATGGTTTTGGGAAAATTGGACAGATACATGCAAAACAATGAAACTAGACCACCAACCTATACCATACACAAGAATAAACTCAAAATGGATAAAAGACTTAAATGTAAGTTGTGAAGCCATAAAAAAATCTAGAAGAAACCATAGGCAGCAAAATCTGAGACATCTCTCGTCACAATATATTTATAGATATATCTCCTAAGGCAAATGAAACTAAAGAGAAACTAAACAAATGGGATTACATCAAAATAAAAAGTGTCTTTACAGCAAAAGAAACCATCAACAAAATGAAAAGAGAGCCCACTGTATGGGAGAATGTATTTGGCAATGATACATCTGATAAATGGTTAATATCCAAAATATATAAGGAACTCATACAACTTAACGAAGGGAAGACAAATAATCCAATTAAAAAATGGGCAAAGGACCTTAATAGACACTTCTCCAAAGAAGTCAAGAGACATATGAAAAAATGCTCAAAGTCATGGATCATCAGAGAGATGCAAATTAAAATGACAATACGTTTACATCTCACACCTGTCAGAATGGCTACCATCATCAAATCAACAAATGACAAGTGCTGGTGAGGATGTGGAGAAAAGGGAACCCTAGTACACTGCTGGTAGGAATGTGCCTGATGCAACCATTATGGAAAACAGTATGGCATTTCCTCAAAAAATTAAATATGGAACTGCCATTTGACCCAGTGATCCCACTTCTAGGAATATATCCTAAGAAACCCGAAGCACCAATCAGAAATAATGTATGCACCCCTATGTTCAGCACAATTTACAATAGCTAAGATCTGGAAACAACCCAAGTGCCCATCAGTAGATGAGTGGATAAAAAAGCCGTGGTACATTTACACCATGGAATACTATGCAGCAGTAAAAAAAGAAGAGTCTCCTACCCTTTGAGACAACCTGGAGGGACCTGGAGAGTATCATGCTAAGTGAAATAAGTCAGTCAGAGAAAGACAAGTCATGATTGCACTCATATGTGGAATCTAAGTAACAAAATAAACATAAACAGAGTGGATCCAGAGACACAGAAGCATGGAACAGAGTGTGGAATCTCAGAGGGAAGGCGGGGGAAGGTGGGTGGGTGGGAGGTAATCAACCAAAGACCATGCATGCATATATGCATAACCCATGGACACAGACAATAGGGTGCTGAAGGCCTGGGGTGGAGTGAGGGGGGAGGTGGGAGCAGGCTGGAGGTGGTCAATGGGTAAAAAGGGGACATATGTAATACTTTGAACAAG